CATGTCACAATCTTGTTCCAATGCATCTGTCTAGAAGTTGGACTGAATTTCATTGGTGTACCCAACTTCCTCTGACTGCATTGTGGACAGTGAAACTGTATTATTACTCATATTACCAAGATAGTAGTGTTAGCTCCTTCACAATGACCAGTTTTTGCTCCTTGAAATCTGATCTCCATGTTTGCAGATTGACAGTACTTTTAATTTTAATCAGATCCTGTCAATTTGAACTTCATGTTTTCAAGATATTACTTGACTCCTTGACTGGCTCAGCTGTGATAAGACTGTAATGTTGAGAGTTTTACAGTGTGTGATGATTTGTGTTTGACAGCTAGATGTTTTTGAACTCTCATTCCCATCTTTCTTTACATTGCAATACTAGCTGCGGTGGATGGGAGTTGTTTTCCAACGAAGTCACGGGATCTTGTACCTTCTGAGAGTGGTGGGAATAGTTGTTCAAGCATCAGAGAGTAGTTGGCCAGAGAAGTTAATCAAAAGAAGCCAGCTTCATAAACTGTTGTTTGAATTACGTTAGTGTTAAAAATAGAAACAATATCCCTTTATTTCTTTTTCATGTTGTGTTTAGGTGGGGAGGGTAGAATATGAACCCTAAACTCAATTAGCATTAAACTTATTGTGTTCCCAATGTTTGGTAATCCTTGGCAATTTCTTAGCAAAACATTGTTCAGAGGGCTTTGTTTTTCTCTTCCTCTCACCCTGAGAGAATGTCACTCAGTGAGTTCCCATGGCATAGTAGGGATTTGAAACCTAGTTCCTGAATAGTAGCCCGACGCCAAAATCTTTATACATAAGTTCAGTCCTTTTGCTACCACTTACTCAATCGTCAAGTCATTCTTTTCTGGCTTTTCAGTATTAATGCCTTGGCCTCTGAACAGAAAGATGAAATTATGGTACAACTTGAGTCTATTAGGAAGTTGATGAAAGAAAGTGGATTGGACAAGTCAGCAATGAAACCACAAGGTAATTAATTATTTGCCGTTTTACAGTTTGTAACAAAAACTCCATTTGATAATTTGGGGTGCATCTATACTTTAGAATTATTGCGGTTTGACGCTACACTAACTGCAGTGGGTCAGTGCTATGGAATCTTGTGAGTTGCCATTTGGTGAGGAACTAGCACTTTTTTGACAGAGAAGACAGGAAGCATTCTAGAACTACAGCTTCCATAATGTTTTTTGTCTTCTCTTAAAAAAAAAAAAGCATTATAGGACTACAGCTTCCATAATGGAGTTGCAGTGGCACAGTGGGTTAAACCCTGTGCGGTTCGTGGTTCGAATTTGTGATACAGGGTGAGCTCCTGTCTGTCAGCTCCAGTTTCCCATGCAGTGACATGAACCCTAGTTCCTAGTTCCTAGACATGAAAGAAACCTCCCACAGAATGGTAAAACATCCAGTCGTCCCCTGTGCAACATCCTTGCAGACGGCTAATCCTCTCACACCAGAAGCACCTTGCAGTTTCTCATGCTGCTTCTGACACAAAAAAAGCTCCCATGATTCCATGGCAATTAAAATGGTGTCAAATTATATTTTTTGCAGTGTAAATACACTCTTAGATCCCCCAAAATGCTACATATGTTTTTTATGGTCTTAATATGAGGTGACATTTTGCTGGTATAGTGCAGTATTCTAATCTAAACCAGACTTCTGATTGGGTTATTAATTTCACCATTCTCACATATATTGTTCTAATATGGTGACCTTCCTTCGTTTTAATAGAAAGGGATGATGCATACTCATTTTATTATGTATAGGTTTTGATTTTCCCTGTTAGAATGAAAAAGTTTTTTGCTTCTGCTTTATCTTTTCACTCTATTTTCTGCATATGTTCTATAAACTTGTTTGCTCTTGCCTAACAAAAGGAACCTGGTTTGTGATTAAATGTGGAAGTCAATTGGGCATATTAATGCAGTACATAATTACTTATAATTAAGGCATTATATGTGCATGTAATTTGAGGACAACATTTATTTTAATTGTTGTAAAGGCATTAAACTCACCAGTAATTTGAAATTTTACTTGTTTCTTTTAAAATCAAGATATTAGCCATACATGCCAAGAGAAGCTTGAAGATCTTATTCAATCATTCGGTGAACCTCCTGAGACAGAGATGAGTGAGGAGAGTGATGAAAAATGTGAGCATGAAGTGCTATTTGATGACACTGAGGAACATGGTGATGAAGAAGAGCATGAACATTTTGACCACGAGTTCTTACTTAATCTAATGGAGGAACCAAAGAAGATGGAAGCTGCTGAAGTAGCTAATCTAGATTCAGCAGACATTGGATTAAGACGCCGTATTAGAAATGAATAAAACAGATAGAAGTGGGTGATGAATTATTGCACATCTTATTATGCACTTTTAAATTATCCTGTAATAGGTACACATTTACTGTAATATGCTTTGAAATGAGATATTTATGAAACTTTTCTATTTATTTATATTATGCTGAAAATCCTATATGCTGTCAAGTTTTATCATATTTTTACAATGATTAAAGTTGAGGAATGGCAACAAAATATGTAGTAAGCCTTTTTGTTTTCTCTCACAGTAAAATGACTCTAGCCATTGGTTTGTATTGAAGGTTGCGGGGAGACATGCTAGCCATGTATAAATATGTGAAAAGATGCCATAAGGAAGAGGGTGCAGGCTTGTTTTTTGCTGCCCTTGAAACTAGGACTCTAAGCAATGGCTTCAAATGATAGGAAAGGAGATTCCACGTGAACATTAGGGCCCCTTCTACACTGCCATATAATTCAGATTGTCTGCTTTGAACTGGATTATCTGAGTCTACTTTGCCATATAATCCAGTTCAAAGCAGATAATCTGGATTTTATATGGCAGTGTGGAAGGGCCCTTGGAAAAACTTCCTGACCATGTGAGCTGTTCAACAGTGGAACTCTCTGCCTCTCTGCATTGTGGTGGAAGCTCCTTCCTTGGAAGCTTTTAGAAAGAGACTGGATGGCTATCTGTCAGGCTGCTTTCATTGTGCTTTTCTTGCATGTCACGGGGTTGGACTAAATGGCTCATGAGGAATCTTCTAACACTTATTCTATGATTCTGTGAAAAGATTTGTAGAGGTGGAAGAGACCTCAAGGGCCATCCAGTCCAACACCCTGCCAATAAGCAGGAAAATCAAATTCAAAGCACTCTGACATGGCCATCCAGCCTCTGTTTAAAAGCTTCCAAAGAAGGAGCCTCCACCACAGTCCGGGGCAGAGAGTTCCACTGATGAACAGCTCTCACAGTCAGGAAATTCTTCCTAATGTTCAGATGGAATCCCCTTGTAGTTTGAAGCCATTGTATAATGAAGATACAACAAGAGAAGCTTGGTGATATTACATACAGTTATTCAGTGCGCTTCTTGAGACAGGTGCAGCTACACTGTAGAACAGTGGTTCCCAACCAGTGGTGAACAACTAAAGTGGTCCACAACCTGGATGGATGGCATATGTTCTGTATCAGAAACTATTGCTGACATGGTCTATCCAATGCAATTTTCTGAATCAGCACCCCAAATAATCAAACCAAATCTAAAGTTGACCAGCGGGAAGGTACTCATGTTGGAGAGTGGACCTTAATCAAAGTAGTCCCTGGTCAAAAAAAGGTTGGGAACTATTGCTGTAGAAAGAGTGCATTTTGAAACCAGTTTAACTGCTATGGCTTAGTACTATGGCATCAATGGGGCGTTGTAGTTTGCTGAGGCACCAGCACTTTTCTACAGAGAAGGCTCAAAATCTTTTAAAACTACAAATCCCTTGCAATGTTGTAACCCACCTCGAGTGATGAGAAGTGGGTAAGAAATATAATTATTATTATAATCCATAGCATTGCACCATGACAGTTAAAACAGTGTCAAATTGCGTGCACCTAAGGATGTGCCAGGAGAGGATGAAAAACACGAGCATGAGGCAACATGTGCCCCAAGGGGTGAAACACCTTCCTTTGCAACAAAAACAGGACCAAGCAACAACCATCGCAGGGAAGCTGGGCCAGAAATCGAAGAAGACATTTATTTACTCCATTTATATACCGCTTTTCTCAGCCCTTGGGCGACTCAAAGCGGTTTACAGTAGCAATAAATTCAATGCTTAAACATCATAAAACAATTAAAATCATGGCCTCAAAATATAATCACCACAAAGTCGATAAAAGGTAACTCATAGCAGGCATGTAGCCGGGGGGGGGGGGGGGTTTGAGGGCCCCCCCCCCCCCGAAATTCTCATGGTGGTTCGCGAAAAGGCCTTACCGGTGCATTATTTAAACTGTTATGTTTATTCATATCATGATCTGATCACCATTCTCAATATATCCCATATGCATGGGGGTATTGGGGTAACAATACAAAAGTTTTGCTAGGGTAGACCCTCCCCCGCGTGGACTCAGCCCCCCCCCGAAACAAACTCAGCCCCCCCCCGAAATGAAATCCTGGCTACGGGCCTGCTCATAGCGTCTCGTAGTTAAAATCAAGATCCGATCTCGTCACCCAATCGTTCAATGTTCCAATATTTGTTACATTGCCTTTTCAAATGCCTGCTTGAACAATCAGGTCTTAACCTTCCTACAAAATGCTAGCAAAGAAGGGGCAGATCTAATGTCTCTGGGAAGGGCGTTCCATAGCCTAGGGGCCACCACTGAGAAGGCCCTGTCTCTCGTCCCCACCAAACGTATTTGTGATGCAGGCAGGATCGAGAGCAGGGCCTCCCCAGACGATCTTAACGTTAGTACTTAGAGCCCTTCCAGGCAGGCCCTCTATCCCAGGATCTGATCCCAGGTTTTCTGTTTATCCCAGATTATCTGGCAGTGTGGACTCATGTAATCCAGTTTAAAGCGGAAAACCTGGGACCAGATCCTGGGATATAGGGCCTGTCTGGAAGGGCCCTTAGGTAAGTCTTTTCTTCCCGGATAAAAGGGGCGAAAAGAAGCCGAGAGCGCCTCCTAATCAAGCGAGGGGAGAGGGCGTGTTTGGGGAGGCTCCGCCATCTTGTTTGCTGGTCGCCTAGGCAACCCGAGTTGCAGGCTGCGGCGCTTTGAGGCCTAGGCAAAGAGGGGCCTTTACGCCTCGCCTGAGCTGCTCAGCACCACTTCTGTTTTCGCCCAGCCTTTCCACGGTGGGTCCTGCGTCCCATTTTACCTGAATTTACAAAACAAAACAGAGGGGTGGGGGCGGGGGCTGAGGGGTGGGCGAGGATAGAAAACCAAGGCAAATGGAGGGATTTTTCTGAGTGAACGATGCAGGTTTTCTTCACTCGACAAGGACGGGCACGCAGGCGCCTTCATTTTGTATGTGCCTTTACCTAGTTTTGCTAAAACGGAGTTTGCCAAACTTTTTGACCTCAGTTCCCAGAACTCCCAGCCAGTTTAACCTAGAGTCAGGGATTCTGGGAGGTGTAGTCCTACACTGTAGAATGAGTGTAGTTCGGCGAGAGACCCAATGCTGTGTAATTTCAGGAGTTGTAGTTTGATGAGGCGCCACCACTCTTTGACAGAGAAGGCTATATTGCAAAACTACACTTCCCAGAATTCCACAGCATTGAGCTATGGCAGCTGAAGTGCTGTCAAAACTGATTAATTCTACAGTGTAGATCAGGCATGGGCCAACTTCGGTTCTCCAGGTGTTTTGGACTTCAACCCCCACAGTTCCTAACACCTGGTAGGCTGTTAGGAGTTGTGGGAGTTGAAGTCCAAAACGCCTGGAGGGCCGAAGTTGGCCCATGCCTGGTGTAGATGCAGCTCAAGCCACCTGGAAGACCAAAATTTGGGAACCACTTTTCTAGAGCAGCATAAAATGTGAGTAGATCTGGCAGGAAGGTAAAGGCGCTCCATACAGTCATGTCGGCCACATGACCTTGGAAGTGTCTAAGGACAATGCCGGCTCTTCGGCTTAGAAATGGAGATGAGCACCACGCTCCAGAGTCGGACACGACTGGATTTAATGTCAGGGGAAAACCTTTACGACTAAAACTAAAACATAAAAGGGTAGGTAGGTACACCAGGAGTCTCCGGTGGTACAGCGGGTTAAACCGCGAGCTGCTGAACTTGCTGACCAAAGGGCCTGTGGTTCGAATCTGGGAAGCAAGGTGAGCTCCCACTGTTAGGCCCACCTTCTGCCTTCTGCAGTTCGAAAACATGCAAATGTAAATAGATCAATAGGTACTGCTTCGGCAGGAAGTTAATGCTGCTGCTGACCACATGACCTTGGAGGTAACTACAGACAACGCTGGCTCTTCGGCTTAGAAATGGAGATGAGCACCACCCCCCAGAGTCGGACATGGCTAGACTTAATGTCAAGGGGAAACCTTTACCTTTACCTTTACTAAAGCTACAGATACTGGTTGGGTATCCCATATCTATGGAGCCCCCGGTGGCGTAGTGGGTTAAACCCCTGTGCCGGCAGGACTGAAGACTGACAGGTCGCAGGTTCAAATCTGGGGAGAGGTGGATGAGCTCCCTCTGTCAGCTCCAGCTCCTCATGCGGGGACATGAGAGAAGCCTCCCACAAGGATGATAAAAACATCAAATCATCTGGGTGTCCCCTGGGCAATGTGCTTGCAGACGGCCAATTTTCTCATATCAGAAGCGACTTGCAGTTTCTCAAGTCACTCCTGAAACGACAAAATAAATAAATCCCTTATCTGAAATGCTTGGGAGCAGAAATGTTTTGGATTTTGGAACACCTGTATTTGCCTACCCAAGTACCATGGAGATGGGAATCTAAACAATAAATCTGTGTTGTTTATACATCTTATAATACACATAGCTTAGAAATTATCATATACACAGTATTTTAAAATAATGTTTTGCATGAAACAAAGTTTGTAGCCACTTGACCATCAGAAAATAAAAGTGTCCCTGACTCAGCTGCTTGTGAGGACAATTTCGGAGTACAAGCAGCCCCTGAGGACAAGTTTGGAGTACAGACAGTTACAAACATCCGATTTACAAACAACTCATAGTTAAGAACAGGGGTGAGACAACAGGAAGTGAGAGGAATAGACCCCTTGCAAGGAAAATTCACTTCTGAGAGAGATATTATGGGGAGAAGATGCCTCCACTGAAGCCTTCTCATCAATCCTTGTTTCCACAACAAGCCAATTTTTTCACAATCCAATTATCATAGAGACAGAAAGTGAAATGAAATCTTCTGAAGGGGCACATACAGCAAAATAAACAATACAGGGTTGTTAACCCTTCCCTATGCAATCCAAAGTATTTGGCTTTTTACACTTAAAATGTACCTGTTCTGACTTATATAAAAATTAGCTTAAGAGGAAACCTACACACCTATCTTGTATTTCAGAATAAGGGGTGCTCAACCTGTAACGGGGAAAGAACCCCCAAACCTAGCAGTGTTTATCTGAAATATCAATATGCAAAAAATCTTGTAGCACCTTTGAGACAAAGAGCCCTATCCCACTATGATGTTACAGTGCTATTATTCCATTTTAACTACCATGAAACATTGTATGGACTTGTAGAGCTTGTAGTTTAATGAGACCCCAGATCTCTGTAGCCTAGTGGGGACTGTTCTTGCTGTTGCCTCTTGAATATTTGAAGCCTGGTCTCTTGGAATCTTGTTCAAACATTCAAATCATTAGTCTCAGAGAGGCAGGATAATAAATGAATACATAGTTTACTTTTTAAGAGATAAAAAGAAATATGTTTGAGGTAGTGCAAGCATGTACCATGGTAAGTTTCAAGTGAAGAATGGAAAATGAAATTTATTGATACTGATAGCTACTATCATTTTGTGCATCAAACAGAGCAATTAAAATGGATAGATACTACCATTTCCAACAATACATTGAAACACATAATCTATCATACATTGACAATTTTTAGACAGAGCTACAATTTAGGAGGAAATATATTTACTAAGAACTTTATTGCCTTGCTAAAATTCTTGTAGAAACAATCTCATATATGAAGATATCTTTATTTGTTTTTGTTTTACACTTTTAAAAAAGCTGATCGCAGTTCAAATGGATTTGGAGATTAAAGGAGTTGCTGCATCTCCAAGGCAAGCACCACTGTCTGCAAGGCAAGGCAAATATGCTCAAGTAAGTTTAAATTAATGATTATTAATTTTTAAACATACAATTATTTTTCTTTTAAAAACTGTAAATGAATGTAACTGACCTCTATATTTCATATAATTATTTAGATGTGAATATATTATATAGATGATCTGGAAACCTGCTTGTTGTTTGTCAATTTAAAGTGATTCTAAGGGAAATCTATAATGCGATTTTCTTGGCAAGATTTGTTCAGAGGAAATTTGCCATTTTCTTTCCTCCAAGACTGAGAGAATGTGTCCAAGGTCACCCAGTGGATTTCCATGGTTAAATGGATTCAAATCCTGTTCTCCAGAGTCATAGTGTAATGCTCCAACTGCTGCACCACACTGCCTCTTAGGCCTGCAAGTTATGAATAGAAAATGACTATGAATATAGAGAAAAGGTAGTAACTCATTGCTAGTAAATAGCACAGATATTATCCTACTCTCTGATAATTCAGGAAATTTAACCGTCTGTAGTACCATGGAGTGGGTTAACGTTTCATTCTTTTCATAATTATTCCTTTATTTTTTCTGTTTCTCCTTGCTATGCCTTTATTTTTAAGATATTTTCATTTTTAATTAAAAGCTTTGCAATCCTGAATCCCCCAAGGCACATTGGGTGGGCTATAAATAAAGTATCATCATCATCATCATCATCATCATCATCATCATTCTTATCTAAGGTTTAGTATTTTAAAGATGTAGAAAAACTTGGGGGTAAGAAGTTTATATGTTATTTTCTAGGACTGGAGGCCACAAACAAAGTCAAGCCATGGACCCCGACCAGCAGAGTAAGTCTATTTTTCATTTACATACTTTGCAAAATGGTTGATTTTCCCCCTCAAAAATATGCAAAAATTAGAAAGGCAGAATGATCAAGAACTACTGTTGGAAAAAGTCAAGGAAATATAACCAACAACATGGAATAAATATTAATTCATTTCATAGCATGTGTTATTCAGCATCTGTTGCTAGCCTGTCCAAACAATTTTTCACCCCTGGATATGCATGTACTTTCAAGTTGTTTGTTGACCTATGATGACATTAGAACTTTCATAGGATTTTCTACATAGGCAAGGCATATGTAGAGGTGGTTTGCTGTTGTTTTCCTCTAATATACAGCATCGAAGTTCTAATCAGGAGTAATCTTGCTTAGCTTCAAAGATCACAAGGGACCTGGTGCTTTCAATGTATTTGCCTTTCTCTTTTTCATTCTTAGTGGTATAATTTCACTATGAAACTATGTTAAAATTTGCTTGCCCTGTTCTTTATTCTAGATTCAACAGAATATTCCATAGATGTGTAATGTAATGGGAAAAGAATACATGTGATATAGATGATGGATTATAAGATACTTCATAGACATTGCCAACTAAAACTGCACACGCACAAAGACAAACATTCACACATATTAAGAGTGCACAGACAGACTAGGTACTATAGGTACTGAAAGAACAGAGGCAATAAATAATAATAAATAAGACATTAGTGGGACTCATTCTGTGTTTTAGCTGTGCACAAGTTCCTGTAGAGAAGTAGTTGGACAGTTTTGTCCAATGCACACATGGAATTGGCAATAATAATCCAGTTGATCATTAGATGTGTAGCCTGATATAAACAAACAATGCAATATTTGCCTGATATAAACAAAATTAACTAACTTCACGTATGAAGATTTATGCTGTGTACCCCTGACATAGGACCTTAGTCATATGCTCCTACTTCCTCTCTTCCTGTGCCAGGATGAGGGATCAAGTTTTCCTTCCTATGTGCTGATATTTTATACTCACTGGCATTGAGAATAGTTTTCCTAATGCCAGTCATTGGCAGTGAATGAGCTGTATAATATGAATGAAATACAGGTGGTTATAAACCTAAACCAAAGCAGGATTATGACAAAAGGCAAATTGCAGGGATTTTTTTTTTTACTCATGTGGTTGCTCTTCTGTCATAACTGAACGCTATACAACATGCCAAAAGGCCCAAAAGTAGATTTGATTTGTCTATTGTGTGTCTTCTTTGGATGACCAGCAGAGACAAAGAGAAAAAAAATTGTGTTTATAGTAGCACTAACACCTGTGTGAACCTTTATGGAAAATCTCTGCCGTCACCCGAAAGAGTGTCTACACAGACACAATATCCCAAGGCTGATCTGGAGTACTGAAGTCTGCAGCGGCCCTAGGATGTTCTTACTGTAGCTGCAGAGGTGGAGAAGGAGCTTTTTATTACCAGCCCCTGGTTATTGCAAGTGGGAAAGTGTCCTGATAGTCCAATGGTGCCAAACCCAGTTCAGTGCCACTGGATAGCCATCTTTACAATCCCCCTCTTGATCTCATCATAGTAGTGACCACCAGTCACAGAATGGCTGGTGGCTGTTGCTTATCACCTGAAGTGATATTGGCAAGGACATGAGAGTGATTTGGGAGAGGGAAGGGAAAAAGCAGGAATTACTCCTCCTTCCCCTTCCTTTGCTTTTCCTTGTGCCCCATCCAGTGTGACTCCAGGTGATGACTGATGGTCCCAAGTTATTTCATGCCTGGTTGATAGCCACTGTGACAAAAACAGGAGGGGTACAGTAAGTGTCATCCCATATGTCTGGGCCAGGAACACGGGATAGCCATACAAACAGTTGTAGTCATTTCTGTCTTAGAGCTGGCACTGCTGGTTACATGAGCACAAAGTTGTTTTTTGCTCTGGATTCTTGGAGAAACTTCAGAGCATCCTGTGACTTTTGTTAATGTGGTTCAAAGCCGTGGAAAAAGGACACTGCCTTCATTAACTCAAATCAGCTCCATATGTCATATAGTTGCCACAGAGCTTATTCTCCTTCCCATTCATGTGGATGTACCCCAAGAAGGAAGGAGCACTCTATTCTGCACTGATGAAATGCAGTTCCCTTTGCTTGTAGGGCCAAAGGTTGCTGGTAGAAAATTACGAGCACTTGTGTGGATATAAATGGTGCTCAGTGTTAGAAAATCCTTGCTGCAGATTATTTTCTTCTTGAACACTTTTACACATGTCAATATTGAAACTAGGTAATATTACACTCAACTTCACTGAGCTAAATGCTTCCCTGAGCCAAATACTTAACTTAATTAAGCCAAATGCTACAGACAAAAGACTGAACACTTGTTTCTAAATTCCAAATATGCAAATGTATTAGTTGAGAAATTTAAGACTTTTCTGTATTGTGGCTCCAGCGCAGAGTGAAAAGAATTAATCTGCATTGTCTTGAGCAGTTCTCAGGTGGAAACAAAATAATTACCAGCCATATACCTGTAGTGCCTCTAATGCTCCTTTTAATCATGGATGAAGAAGTCCCAGCTTTATCTCCTGCTTGAAAAGCTACATGCCTCACTGACGGAAAAACATTTGATGGCCCCTGAAACTCAGGGAAAATGTTGACATTTTGCTATCTTTCCTAATTTCTAATTATTCTGCAGAGTTCCATGCCTAGACTTGGGAAAACTGGGCGATTCAGAGGATGAGGTAACAAATATGAATTATTATCTGAAAATAATTAATACTCACTCAAATGTAATAATTGTCAGAATATAAACATTAACAAGAAAGATTAGACTTCAAATCAACATATCATGCTGTGACTTGATTCACATGGCCTAGATGTGACCGTTCTAGTTCAGGGGTGGAAAAAGTGTTGCACTTTAAACAGCTCTCAAGATTCTTTATGTGCCCCTTCCAGGCTTTTAATGTTTTTTATTAATCTCCAGGCCATTTTAGCAAAAGGAGAAATCTTTTTTTTTTCCTAACAAAAAGTTATCCAAAGCCTTTCCCACCAATAGAGGAAAATTGTTAGAAAATATCCTCACCTGGTTAGAACTGTGGTTAATTTGCTTTCAAAACACTGTAGAGTATAGCCCTACTGGGGCCCAGTACAGATCCTATCTCACACAAAGGTTGTCCATCCTTATTTGAACATGTTATTAAGAAGAATTAAATGTTCAGTTTTGTGCCGAATGATTATTCCAGGATCGAAGAAAGCTGTTGTTCTTATAAGGATTTCAGTTTTTCTAAAAACACTTTCACCTATATGAGGGTATGTAAAACTTCCATGTTGAATATCGTAGATGTCAGATGAAAATCTACACAATGGCAGTGTACAGAAGTTGATTGTAAATGATATGATTATAACTGTATTTGTGTTTGAACTGGTTGCCCTAATGCTGGAGCAGCCTAGCTGTGAGGAGTGTGTTACCATGGAAACGATGCTGTAGAGAAGTGGGAGGAGCTTAGAGAGGAGAGTTTTTGAAAAGCGACAGTTAGAGTCAGTTCAAGGTTTAGGCTCAGAGGAATGAAGAGTCAGAGTTTAGGCTCAGAGGAATGAAGAGTTAGGATTTAGGCTCAGAGGAATGAAGAGTTAGGATTTAGGCTCAGAGGAATGAAGAGTTAGGGTTTAGGCTCAGAGGAATGAAGAGTCAGGGTTTAGGCTCAGAGGAATGAAGAGTCAGGTTTTAGGCTCAGGGAAATGAAGTGTTGAGAGAGAGAGTGGGAAGTAGAGAAGCAGTGTTTGTGAATAGTCAGAGGTTTCTTCAGTTTAGGAAGGCTGAAGGGGAAACCTTATTAGTTTCATTAGTTAGAGAAGACTAATAGAAGCTTGTTTAGATCACTAGTTAAAAGTGAACTAGAGATCTGAGGTTTTGATCACGGAAGGATCAAACAGGAAGACTATTCACTTCAGGAACCATTGTTTAATAAAGTGCTTCACCACAGCAAAAGTTATTTATAAGTTGTAACATCAGAAGTCTGTACTGTATCGCAACCAAGTTATATGTAACGTTCTCCAAGTATCTTCCAAGTTTATCACCAAACTGCAACCATACGCTTTGTTTCAAAATAAACTTGTTCTCTTTGATTTTAAGACTGCCTCATCTCCATTAATTCGGCGTTCAGTGTGCCCAATCTCCCAAATTACCTCACATCACAAATTGGTGGCTCTATTAAGAATAATAAATAATAAATCGAAACTTCTCTCTCCTGAAACCCCTTTTCTTTGAAGTGGGGCAAGCCCTTTGCAGGCAGATTACAATAGCAAAATTGGAAAGCTTAATTCAAGTTACATTTTTCAAATAATCCATTTATAACGACCCAAATGAAACTCTTTAATGTGAATTTTTTTACCTTGACATGCTGGCTATAGTTTTAAGAGAGACCACTAAATAGACTTATGATTTTTGTAAAAGTGGACATAACATAGTTCTAGTATTCAGTCTGGTACATGTTTCTATTGTTTCTCTTGTTAGTCGTAATCTGAGTGAGTCCATCTAATTTCATTTCAGAATAAACTCTCAATAATAATTACTCTTTCTATTACATTTCATCACTCATTTGTACTTGATATGTGGAAACATTTCTAACAAGAAATTATACAGATAACTGACAAATCTAAGGTAAATCTATGGTTTTTAGGTAGTTTGTGTAATTACACTATCTCTGTATAGTTTAATGGAACATGATGTATTGAAAAATATAAGACAATAATCTTGTATTTTCTTTTAGGATGGAGATACCTACAAACCATATAGTGTTGAGCGTTCTCATGCTGGTCCTCTACATTCAGCTTCAACTATTAGCTGGGGTACTCCATTACATACTCCTTATGCACAGCATTATACTGTTCAACAGGTAAGTTAATTTGTTATTGTAGGTATATTTAGGAAACAAATAGTACATTGAATTGTTCATACATAAAATGGGGTGGATATGTCAGTGAATTATCAATTAACCTACTGTTATTCAAAAAATGCTTTTTATATTTTGAAGTTTTTTTTAAATTGTAATTCTATCACTGGTTTAATTTGAAATAATGGTAATGGCACGTCAGTCATTGTCTACTTTTGTCAATATAATTGAAATTTTACATAAGAGTAACTGTGTGACTTTAATAATTAAAGTATGCTATATTTTAAGTATTGTGGCCTTGTTGTTTTTCCATGTACATCTGCGTCTGAAATGCACTGGACATGATTCAGTACGCAGTCCTGTTAGGATAGAAGTTTGAGTGTAATGACCTAATTGCTGCATCTGGTCTTAATTAAAAGCCTATCTCTTTATTTATTCAGTGTGAACATTTTCATTGATAGTGTTCTTTCTCTTTCTGTTTCTCTCTCCACATATGATTGTAGTAATTATAGAATGAGCCTAGAGTGCTGTGCTTTTTGTTAACAGATTGCTGAAGCATAAAGGCTTAAGAGATCTGATTGATCTGAGATGGAGAATCTTTACGTTGATTGAAAAGAAAGAAATGTTTAACTAACAAGTAGTTAGATTAATGGGGACTTCAATAAGTAATGATGACTATGGCTTCTGGTAAAGAAAGAAACATTATTAGATCTGAAAAGTCTTGATATCAGAAATAGCATAGAAGAGACTCTAACTTTAAGACTGTTTTAAGGAAACCAGGCATAGTAATCAGTAAAAATCTACTGCTAGGAAGTTGAGAACAAGCAGATGATCATACATTGTTGCTGGCTGAGTACAGACATCATTAGCTATATCCCTAAGAATTGTATCAAAGCATGATAGAAAAGAGGTGGAAAATTGCATTGGATAAGATCAGTGACATTAGCAATAGAACATATTCAGAGGACATTTGTGAACAATTAAAATATTCTATCATATATTTATGGCTGGGGCTGGCCCCTAGAATATATAACAGTATGTAGGTATGCCTGAAAGACTGTTCACAGCTTGGGAGTTCTCCTAGATTGTCTCTCCAAATATCAGCCCAGGCAGATGTACAGTTAGGAATGATTACTATCAAGTACCAAGTTTGGAAACTCCAATTAATTCAGAACACGGTAGCCAGACCAGTTACATGACATCTAGGAGTGAGCATATCACACTCATACTACAGTCACTCCACTGGTTACCAATTAGTTTCTGGGCAAAGTACAAAGTGTTGGTTTTGATCTTTAAAGCTCTGCATGGTTTGAGTCCAGGTTACCTACAGAATCACCTTCTCCTGTACAATCCGTCCCTTGCTGTAGGAAAATAACTAGACAGTTCTTTGACATTTGCCCCTGGCAGCTAGGAAATTACTGTATAGAAAAAGGAGCTGCAGCAGAGGAAAGAAGTGTCTGCAGGTGGGAGGAATTTGGGTCATTGTATCATTGGTACAGAATTTCAACAGCCATCAAAAAAGGGAGTTCCAGTGGTTAGCAGCATGTCAGCTGATAATATTGTTTAAAGGAGAGATTTAAACATGATGAAATAATTTTTCTCTTTCATTACATGATTTTTCTGTTGTCCAGACAGCTAGAAAACCTGGTCTGAAGAAATCTGAGGTAGGTTTGTTGTAGAAGAACATGTTTTCTGTACCAAAATTAATGGGTTTTGATATTTTTACTACTTCCAAATAACAAAAAAAATTCAGATGTTAAAAACATGTCCCACACTAAGAAAAAGGTAGCGTGTAAATAAAACAATTAATGGGTTTTGATATTTTTACTACTTCCAAATAACAAAAATAAATAAAATATTCAGATGTTAAAAACATGTTTTAAACATCTGAATATTTTATTTGTTTATTTTTGTTATTTGGAAGTAGTAAAAATATCAAAACCCATTAATTGTTTTATTTACACGCTACCTTTTTCTTAGTGTGGGACACAAGATGGTTCACAGTATACATAAAAGAGAATACAGCTAACAGCTCACCATTAGAAAAAAAGTAAGCTAGGTTATATTTTTAAAATTGCACTTGAAGTATTTAAAACATTTGGATGGGATTTTGTAGAAATTTCAAGCTATTTTCGGGTGCTTGTTAATTAGTGCAATATTAGGTTTAGGCTATTGACCAATGCTTCAACTTCTATTTTAGATATGTATGCAAATGCTTTTGTTTTGCAACATTGTCAAAACTAAGTATAATTTGGAAAACTTTTGTTAGAGTGGCTACTGTCCTCATATTTAGTGTCTTTCAGTAAATACATCTTAGGAAAACAATAGAATTTGCTGTAATAAAATTTCTGTTTTACTTGCAGTTTTCTTTATGTGAGCAGAATACAGTACCAGAAAACCTGCCGCCTCCAGCAGATAAATACAAATTGAAATATCAGCAATATGAAGCCGAAATGAAAGAGGAATATAAATGTTATTCTCAAAGAGCTGCAGAAAAGAAAAGGAATAACGAGACTTTTGAACCTCCTGGAAAAATTGATGAGAAGGAGGTAGTGTTCTTATTTAATTTGAAAATGGAAACTATATTAGCCTTGTCTGCCTAGAAAGACTGTTCTCAGATAAAACTCTTCAGGACAAGTTGACATATAGAGGTATAATCTACAAGGTATTATATAGATTTCTGTTTGCATGTAGCACAGGTTTGGGTCTTATTGTTTTCCAATTTAATAGTCTCTGCCCATTGTACTTTGTCCTTTACACTGTTTTTATTCTCTGGTAGTAGTGGTAGTTTTTTGCATCGCTATTGCTGTTTTGTATTATCTCTCTGGCTGCAATTTTCATTTCAGATGCTGATGTCTGGGTCATCCTTTCCCCTCTGACAAAACCACCACTTCATTCCATAGTGTTTCAACACCTCTGTTGATAATTGCTTTGACCCTGCTGCTTTTTTTAGTCATCACTTCTAGTCTCTAAGGTTGAATGATGTCCCCTATATATATTATGTTGGGGTCTCTCTTGATCTTGTTCTTAGCAGGATGTACTCTGTCTAAACGTCTGCCATTGAATTTTTTTTCAGAGCTGCTGGCTACTCTCCCCACATTTTCCTCTTCTGTCTGTTCTAATCCACTGATTAATTAACTTTACTCAAAGTATTGTTTTCACCTTCTTTTGCTGAGTCTTTGTTCTGTTAGTTAAAGTCTGCATTGTGTAACTTCAGTTAATCCCTGATCAAAGTAGCACTTGACACATTTGCCCCATTCTCCCAGTTAACTCTCATCACTCTCCTCCCTAGTCCTGGTTCACTGCCTATTCATATGCTCATGCAGCTGCAAACTTCTGGAAAAGAGAAAAAGAGCTAACTGAGTCCAGTGCAGCTCCTGTTTGTCTCTTCTGCCTGTGCCATCAGCTTCAATAAGTAGCAATACTTACCTTTCCTTTTTATATAAATAATTTAAAAGGTTTATTTACGAATTTCTAAACACTTCACATAATACATTTTTCTTGTTACACCTTCCATTCCCAAATCTATACTCCTGCCACCCCATCATTCGCATAGTATTATATTCTAGTTTCATCCATTACACATAATTGTTGTGATATATTTTCTAATCGTACTAATTGTTCATCCACAGTATTTCTTGATCATTTGGTGGTTTGATCATATATGGCTTCCATATGTTATCAAATAAATCATCTTCTATTTCTCCTTTTACTAACCTTTGCTTCTAAGTTTGCTGCCCATACCCTATTTAACCAATTCTTTATTGTCAAATTCTATAGTTTTTTTTCCAAGTTTTGACTATTTTGAGACTTGCGGCACATAACTTGATGTGTTTCAATGCAGTAAATCCGCATTTTGAAACTGCACCATATGGCAGTGCAGATCAAGTCTAATACAAGATTTTTGTTTACCAAATCCTTATTCTTATTTTCTGATACAGAAACCATTAGTAGAGCTCCCCTGAAGTGTACTGTTTCCCCTACTATTTGCCTTAGCCATGCTCAAACTTCATCCCAGAATCTTTGTACTTTTGGGCTCCAATCCCCTATTTCTCCACACTTTCTCTAACATAATTTGGAAATTCCATTATTCATTTTATGCAGTTTGGATAATAGTACCATCTATGCGTAATTTTCAAAGTATTATTTCTCAGTGGTACTGAAATGAATTTATACACTTTGGTTTCAGTACTTACCTTTCTGAGTCACAGCAGATTCAGTTATCCTAAGTAATTTTCTCTACCTTTCATATCTGAAACTCTCGTCATTCTGTGTTCAAGATTTTTCTATCTTCATCAGCTGAACAATTAAATCTTTTTTCCTTTTTGTAACTTATTTGTGTTTTTTGCCAGTATTAATGCCTAACTTAGTGATGCCATTTAAGATGTCTACAAATTAGATGAATCCACAGAATGACCATTTAGTCCAATCTCTTGCCATGCAGGAACATCACAGTCAAAGCACCCCCAATAGCTTCTTGTAAGAAGGCAATGATAGGACAAACCAGCTTTGTGTAAAGATGGAGTATGTGTAAAGGTGGTGGATGGAGTAAACCAGGAGCTCTGGCTCCAAATCGCCACATTTTTGCAGATCACTAATAGACCTTGGGCCACATGCTATTGTTTAAGGTTTGCCATTTTCTAGAATAAAATGAGATGAGATGGGCATGTATACTATTCTAATAGTGAGGTCATAGACACCTTTTCAGGAATGAGTTTTGGCTATTTTGAAAACGTCGTCTGTCAAATCATTAAACTTGCAATTTGTGAACGGATGTCACACATATGGAACAGTAAATGAACTTACTTAATTCATATCATTATACCTTCGCGAAGTTGTTCCCCAGCATTACTTTTTAATAGAACATTTACAGAGGTAGAAAATTATGTGGAAAGAATAGGAATAGGTTCCTGCACTGTAAAAAAGGAAAATAGTTCAAAATGCTCCAACAAACATCTTATCTAAAACTAAGACTGGGTCTGAACTGATATACAATGCCGTTTCAGAATGCAGACCAACTGCGTTGAACCGGATTATATGGCAGTATACAATCCATTTCAATGGAGTCAATCCGCGTTTTGAAACTGCACCATATGGCAGTGCAGATCAAGTCTAAGAATACACTCATGTGAAATGAAACAGCCAGGTCGAGTAAACCTTGTAGAAGCAAAGAAAATGATTTTGAACTCTCAAGAGCCCACTTGAAACTTCTTCGCAAATACATTCAGTGATACTTTTTTCTCCTTTCATTAGTCTCCACTTTTTTTGGTTTCTGTATTGATGTCCAAACACACACACACACATATATGCTTCTTTAACATGATGAGGAAATAGCTGGCAAAGTAGACTTACCTGCTTTTTACTTTTCTCACCGTAGGATGGCCACATATACTCAGTAAGGGATTCTGGAGTTAGCTGCTGTTTAACTTCCCTGTTATGGCAGGAACTTGCAGCTACTATAAATCCTATTCTTACCCAGTTCAAGCTTTAATTACATTGTTTGCTCTGAATACTGCAGTGCAACCCAACATTTTAAAAAGACTGTTAGTATCATATAATCATAGAGTTGAAAGAGACCACATGAGGCATCTAGTTCAATTCCCTGCCATGGAGGAAAAGCACAATCAAAGTACCCCTGACAGATGCCCATCTAGCTTCCGTTTAAAAGCTTCCAAGGAAAGAGCTTCTACCACACTTCGAGGCAGAGAGTTTCACTGCTGAACAGCTCTTACAGTCAGGAAGTTCTTCCTAATGTTCAGGTGGAATCTCCTGTAATTTGAACCCGTTACTCCAAGTCCTTGTTTCCAGGGAAGTAGAAAACAAGCCTGCTCCCTCTTCCTTATGACACCCTTTCATATATTTATACATGGCTATAATGTCTCCTCTCAGCCTTCTCTTCTGCAGGCTAAACATTCCCAGCTCTTTTAAGACGCTCCTCATAGGGCTTGTTCTCCAGACTTTTGATCATTTTAATTGCCCTCTTCTGGACACCTTCCAGCTTGGCAATATCTCTCTTAAATTGTAGTGCCCATAATTGGACAGAGTATTCCAGGTGAGGTCCCACCAAAGCCAAATAGAGAGGTACCATGACTTCCCTTGATCTAGACACTATACTCCTTTTACATCCTAAGAGAGCCATGATTTTTCAGATATGAAATTGCATTGTTGAATAATTTCAGAAAAATAGTGACCTCATTTTCTGACAGCTGTGTGAGATAAATTGATTTCAGAAGTACACAATATTATGTAGCTGGCCTGAACAAAATTTCATGTTTAGGAGAAAAATCAAAAGTTATATCATTTTTCTGCTTGACAAGCCTCCCAGGTATCTTTTTTAATGAACTGCAATTTTTTTTTAAAAAAAAATCTTTTGTGTTCATTTCAATTTTGACTGAATCAAAACTTGCTTATTTACCATATAATACATACCAAATTAATAAAGCTGATTTTTCCTTTGCATTTTTCTATACATCCTAGGCAGTGGGAAACAAAACAAAACAAATTAGTAACACGATGCAGTATTTGTTTATCTAAATAATGTGTTGTGCTATGATGTAGGATATACAGCCTGAAAGAAAAGAAGCAGATGAATTGACAGTTCTTGATGAGAAGGCATTTCTACAACAGTGCTATACAAGTAAACCCTACACAATGCAACACAGCGTAAGAAAATTGGAAGCTGTAAGTACTCATAGGCCTATGATATTGTTCGGAAAATGGGTATATACAATTGCATTTAATTGTTATAGTCTAACAGCACAAATGCTTGTTATTCTAGAGTAGTAATGCCGCAAGCTCAACTTAATACTATATTTATTCTACCTTAAATTGGAAGACAGTAAACCCATGCATCATATGTCCTTACTAATGAAATTATTTTCCACTCCATTAGAACAATTTACATTCAATAAGTATTAAAGGGTTTAAAATCATTACACAGAGTTTCGGATTATAATAGCATAGAATTCCAATTTCATTTGAATAAATACTGAATTGATGTGCATATTTGATTATACTTTTTAGATATAAAGGTTGATTGACAATAATGATAAAAACAGAAATAATGGAAGTATCCTTCAGCTGTTGGGTGAAGTTTGATTGTGCATAAAGCAGATACTCAAGTTAGTATTTTCTTATCCAGCTTGCTGGAAAGGATACCCTTTTTGTTGGCTCAAGTATGATTAATAATTTTTGAAAACTTTTTACAATATTACATTTTTGTCCAAGATGATCCCATGTTTTGAACTTTGTTCTGTGATCCTATGTTTTGAACTTTATCCTATGTTGCATTTAGCAAGATTTTCTGAACTCATTCAGTATTTCACTTCTCTTTTCCTGGGTTGCTTTGCAGGAAGATGTTGCAGCAGAGAGAAAAAAACAAACAGTAGTGGAACAAGTGATGATAGATCAATTATCTAGGTAAATCAATAAATACAAATGTTGATTTACTAAATAGAAGAGTGCTGTTATAAATATGCGTGCTTTCCTTTTCTTTCTCAAAGGAAATGAAAATTATGATTATAATTAATTTGAACATGTTTTGATTACAGTTCAGCTGAAGCCGAGGTCTTTGATGTCTCACTGATTTAATTTGGAAGAGTAAAGTACAAGAAATCAATAGAAATTCTAAATTTTCATTTGATTGTGTCTGTTACAAATGGTTTTTGTACAATTATTATACATCCCCTTGCTTATATCCTCCAGATAGCTTATATGTTATAAATCATATAAACCAACGTAGTATGTTGAGAAAACAAAACTTAGACCACATTACAACACATTTATAGAAACAGACACTCTGCATTCCTGTTTACACAATGGATCAGTAAACAGATACCCAATCAGTTGCACAATTTGAGTGCACATCAGAATGCGAGTGTAGTGCAGCCACTATGTAACTATATAAGTGGAGATTTCATAGAACCATAGAGACCTCGTAGGCCATCCAATCCAACCCCTACCGAGAAACAGGAAAATTGCTATCCAGTCTCTGCTTAAAAGCCTCCAAAGAAGGAGCCTCCACCATACTCTGGGGCAGATTTCCACTGCTGAACAGCTCTCACGGTCAGGAAGATTTTCCTAATGTTCAGGTGGAATCTCCTTTCCTGTAGTTTGAAGCCATTGTTCTGCATCCTGGTCTCCAAGACAGAATTTATGCTATGTGAGCAGGATGTGTGATATGAACTAAGAGATTTTTTTTTCTGAGTTAGAGCCGTGATCAGTGATCCTGAGCAAAATGGAAATGGAGATGTTTTGAAGAGTGATCCTGTTCTTCCAGGATTAAGGACAGCACCCCTGCGCTTTAGGAAAAGAACATTACATGAAACAAAGTAAGGATATATCATTATATGGTTTTGTTTTACTTCTCTAATCTTTGAAATGGTTAGGCATGTGTTTACATTTCTTCATTCTCTATAATGGAAAACAATAAACTTATTTGAACAACACATGTCCTGTTTCTTTTTACAGAAATGTGTTATTTTCTCTTCACATATCAAGTGTGATTATGTTTTTAAAAATCTTATTAACTCTTTATTTGAAAGAATATTCCATTCCCATGACAACATATATGTGTGGCTGTTGTATGTTTTTCTGTTCCCAGTTCTATGGTGGAGACATCATAGATGTGCTCCTAGCTATGATATGATGGCATCATTACTCAGTTCACATATAGAAGAGATCCTTTTAATTTGATGATCCACTAGTCCTAGATTAGGTGTTATCTTGAGCAATTCCTCAATGCAGAAAAGCTACAATATTTGTTGGCTTTGTGCAGTTCAGAAAAGTAAAAGAGGATATAACAGAGATGTGGAAAAATGGCACAATATAAAGTGAGTGGATAGGGAGAAGTTTTATTATAATGCTAGGATCTAGGTTTATTCAGTGAATCTGAATGGCAGGAGTTTCCAGACAGATGAAAGGAAGTACTTCTACACAGTGCATAGTCCACGTGTGGAATGTATTGCAGCAAGATGGTGTTAATAGTCATCATTTGATAGCTTTAAAAGGGAAATGAAATTGCTTGTAGCCATACATTGTAGGCTTCTAAATGTCAGATGTTCAGAAATGACAGTAGAATAATTTTCAATAAATATCTGCTTAGTTGCTGTGGAAAATTTGCTCATCAGTATTGTTTTAGTGGTGAGCTGTTTGGCTCATTATGGAAGTGCTTTTTAGCATTGATCTCTGCTTAAGAGCCATGGAAAAGGTCTGCAAACTCCTGAAGTCATGTTACACCAGTGAACAGTGAGGTGCACATAATTCTACTTTCTGTGATGTTTGTGTGTCTCTGTGTATTAGTGATACACATTTTGAATTTGGTTATCTTCATGATTAGTTACACTTCTAATTCAGCATTTTAAGTATTAGAAACTCTTACTTTGAAAATCATCCTGTTTTGCTTGCATAGAACTTAATTATTATTGTGATTTTTTTTTTTTGCAGGATAAGAACTAGGTCAGCCTTAACTGAAAATGTGCTTTCCAACAAATTACGCTTTGATGGTAGACTAATATCAAGGTATGCCTAAAAACTGTTTCTTAAAGCCTTTGGGTTTTTCCTATGAATGACAAAGCATAGCCTCAAATTGTTAACAAAAAGCTGGGTTTGGGGAAGTGGGTATTATACTGGGGGTAATATCAGCATCCTCCAACAGATGGTATGTGTTTTTACCAGAACAATTCAGACTCCTACTTAGTTTTAGAGCCAAACCACAAATAATTATAAATACATTGTAGCACTTAATGGAAGTATTGTTTTCATCAGCTGTTGCAAGGGATACAATTTAGCCCTTTCCTCTCTTGCTATGATCCTGATTAAAATTACTAACTCCTAGCTGCAAGTTAAACACCCCTCTTAGTTGAATTCTGCAGCCTTAAATCAGATTGAAATCACTCACAGCAAATTACATTTTAAAACAGTTCTTAAACTCTGGGCTACGGACCACCAGTGGATCGCGAGGATGAAAATCTTGTCTGCGAGCCTCCTTCCTCTTTATTTATTTATTTTACTATGCTTATTTTATTTCTGCTGCTTTCACGCCACGTGCCACTCCTTCCCTGTCGCTGACCATGGCATATGTTCTGTATCAGAAACTAGTGCTGATGTGGTCTATCCAATGCAATTTTCTGAATCATCACCCCAAACCTGGGCACACAGAAAACTGGGCAACTTGGAAGGTGCTGAACAGACTGCGCTCTGGCACCACAAGATGCAGAGCCAACCTCAAGAAATGGGGTTACAAAGTGGAATCCACGACTTGCGAGTGTGGAGAGGAGCAAACCGCTGACCACCTACTGCAATGCACCCTGAGCCCTGCCACATGCACAATGGAGGACCTTCTTGCAGCAACACCAGAAGCACTCCAAGTGGCCAGCTACTGGTCAAAGGACATTTAATCAACTACCAAACTCACAAATTTTGTATTTTGTCTGTTTGTTTGCTTTGTTTCTGTTAGAAATGTAATATAATTGACTAGTTGCCCTGACACGACAAATATAAATAAATAACCCCAAACCAAAACTAAAGTTGACCAAAAACTGATTTGTAACCCTTTTGGTACTAATGGTGGAGAGTAGTCCCTGGTCAAAGTGGTCCCTGGTCAAAAGAAGGTTGGGAACCACAATTTTAAAACTACATACTATATGCAAGGGTTAAATGGTAAAACTTTTAAATTAGCCCTCAGATCTCTTAGGGCCTATTTGCATGGGCCACATGTGCTGGTGTTTATCCATAGTGAGGTATTCCAGATCAGTACTGTGAGAGTCTGCACACTCAGCTTGTAGCAGTCAGCGGAAAAGAATGATTATAAAAATATATTTAAAAAAATGAATATAGGAAAACTTACCTTGAAATACTAGCGAAGGAGTGTTTGCGGCAGGGAGAAGCGAAATGTTCCATAGACTAAAATAAGGGCTTCAGAGATCAAGGAAGTTAAATATTAACGGGAACATGACATTTGGGAAACAATAATAAAGTGAGACGTTTATCATCAAGGGAATGTTTCTGGCAACCAGACAAGGACGCTTGTGTAGATAATTGATCTGAGGATGGAAAAGGTCAGAGCAGCATTTGATGGTTCAGTGAGGTAAATAGCAGGTAACTTCAGATATATTACGAATATGGGAATAATTAAGATTTGAAACAATTATAAGTACGTCAATATAATATGTCATTGTGATGTATGGGAAAAGGTAATGCGAAATACCTCTGTTAATGTTTATATCTGTGTAAATGTCATGGCAATTGTGCGCATGTCTGAACTAGTGAATTTTGCTATAAATATTGTAAGCTAACTGACTTCTAGTACGCTTCAGATCACACTTCTGAGCGTCCTATCATGATAGTAAATATGCCTGGAATCAAATTTGCAGTCTCCGTCTCCTTCCTGCCTGATTGTGCTCTACATGATCCCGGGTAGCAAATCTGCCGCGACAAGCTGACAAGCCAGTTAAGCGGCTAGTATGTGCCAAATCCGATTCAACACCACTGGACTACCACCCTTACAATCCCCTCTCTTGTTCTTGGTTCAGTAGTGACTACAAGATGCAAAATTCCAGGTTGTTGTCACTAGTCACATCTACTGAGGCTGAACGGAGCACCAAAGCAACATGGGAGAGGGGAGGGGGAAAGGGGGAATCCCCTCACCTTTCCCTCATTGCCTTCTCTGATAACTCTGGTGCCCCGCCCAGTAGCAGTGGATGCAATGAGTAACCTTGATCATACCTGTTGGTCATTGCTGAGAGCAAGAGGATGTTGGTAAGTGCCATCGCTGGGTCTGGGGAAAGTAAGATGTCAGTGTGAATAGCTGTGGCCAGTTCCAGATCTCAACCAGACCAACTGTTCACCCTGCCATAAAGTGCTGGTGAACTTCAGAGCTTTGGGAAACTTCTTGAACATCTTATGACTTTCAAAAACTTGGGATAAGAGTGGATGTTAGGGTGAATGGTCCCTGTACATCATGTGGACACCACAGAATCCATTCACCCCAGCCTCATTTGGCCCATGTAGATGGGCCCTTAGTTGTGTAGAGCAACAAATTGGGGATCTTTTCTTTTTGAACATGAGAGAAAAATTATCCATATTGAATGGAGAGATTGGCTGGCATTGTTTTAAGCAGAGACCTGCTAATGGATATGATAGGTACATGGCTATTAGTAAGTTACTATTTTAAATATCAGTTGAGAGAATGGTGGAAGTTTTGGGAAGACAGGATTCTGCATTACTGTCTCAGAAATTCAGATCCTGGTTTTTGGTGGTTTAATTGTGTGGAATTTAACCAGCAGATTAAATGTAACCTTATATAGACTACTACAACACTATAACTATATTTAAACCTTTCAGATCTGCCTGAGGTGCAGGAGGCAATCTATTAACTTCTACTTAATTCTTATGGTTGTATTATCCCTGGTCTGCTAAACAAACATCAAAATGATACACATTTATCTTCTGTTTGGTTGTTATAGATTTTACTAAATTTGTTTTTTAAAACTTGTATGTTTTGTTATCATTTTAGAAATGGGCGTGATGCTTGTCGAGATCTAATTGGATTTTTCTTTGTATATGACAAATCCCTAACTGTTTATGAATATAGACAGTTTGGTAAAAACAGGTAAGTAAGACAAGAAAAAATTTCTTCAGAATTATATTGAACCATTGTTGTTTAGTGAATTCACAATAACTACAAAATGTTTCTGGTTTCACACAGAACAAATGCTTTACCTTTTATTCAGAAAGGGATTTATGCACATCAGTGTGGACAAAGAAAAGGAAAGCAGTATTGCCTTAATGATATCTATGTTGTAAGTATTATGAGTGTTATATTTTTTTTATCTTGGATCTGGTGTCTTACTAACTATGGGTGGTATTCAGTTCTTGCTTCAGTCATTTTCTTCCATGTCTGTATTTTGAAGGATGGATTATCTTGTGCAAGTATCTGTCCAGGGGCAAGAATGCTTCCTGGGACCTGAAAGACCTATTCAAATAAATCATTTTTCCTTGACATCATTTCATGACTTTAGGACCTGATTGGATGTTGATGAATGTATATGTGCAATGGCATTTTTGAAATTTCAGATGAATAGCAAAATTGATATTCAGCAAGATTGTATATATTTTTCAGGATTAATCCAGAAACAAAATGAACTTTTAATTTATTTTTCAGTTGATCTACATTCTGCACCTAAATTGGAGTTACGAGTTTTTTTGTTGACAAAGGCCCCTTCTGTGCAGCGGTATAAAATCCAGATTATCTGCTTTGAACTGGATTATATGGCAGTGTAAACTCAGATAATCCAGTTCAAAGCAGATAATCTGGATTATCTGCCTTGATATTCTGGACTATATGGCAGTGTAGAAGGGCCCAAAATCTACTGTATAGCCTTGCCACTATGAGGGCCCTTCCAGACAGCCATATAAACCATAATATCAAGAAGATAATCCACAATATCAGCTTTGAACTGGGTTATCTGAATCCACACTTCCACATAATCCTGTTCAATGTAGATTTTATACAACTTTGTGGAAGGGGCCTCCGACTGCACATTTTGCTTGTTCCCACAAGAGGGCAACCAGGAATAGTCAGGATGGATTAATGCAGTTTCTATTTGCTCATTATTATAAAGAAGTGAACCATAATGGTTTTAAATGGCTAGTTCTTATTATTAATTTTTAGCAAAATCTAATGGCATATATTATGCAAATAATTTATCATAAGTATAAGAAAGATTACTGCAAAATTTGAGAGAGCAGTTTACATGGTTTCATTTTAAATACTGGTCTTTTTTTACAATCCAAGAAAAATAGTGTTTGATACAATAAATCTATAGATAGATCAGTAGATGATTTTTTTTGTTCAATTTAGAAAGAATGTTATACATGAAATTTTGCATACAGAGTCTGTCTTCGGACAACTGCTTCTTTATCCAGCAATGTCAATAAATGTCAGAAGCCATGCTGTTTATATGATACAGAATCTTGGAGCTAAATCCAATGGTAGTTCTATCTAGAACAAATTAACTGGATGCCTGTGGCGTGTCAAGAAGTGCCAAATCAGAGTAAATAGCATAGTAAGACTACTCTATAATGGTGTACTGTCATTCTCTGAATGGAGGAATTCAGCACACCTTACCTTCAGAAAATGCACAGATCCAGTCATATGCAACATTTGCTGCTCCTGCTTCAGAGGATAAGAATAATCTCTAATAGCAAAATGTCTAGTCAAGTTTCATAGCTGATTGCTAACAGATCCTGCAGGGCTTCTGCTATTGCTGTCATCATGATGGTGATTGTAGCAGCTTAAGGACATAAGAGGCCTTTCAGATGTATATGATGTATCTGTATATAGGTAGCAGAGATTTCCATACACAGAAGTGAATGGGATCACACAGTGTGCATTCTGTTCAGGACTTGCATGCATGCTTGCTCTATATTTTAACTCATGGAAGGTACATGAGTTAGAATATTATGGACTTTATTTTCAAAGCAAATGTTGAGGTCCAGTAGATATCAAGATACTTGAAGTCTCCCATTACTGCTATATTTTCCCTCTTTTTAATATTTGGTAATCTCTTCCAAGGAGACCTCATTGAGTCTTTCACTTTAGTTTGAAGTTCTCCGGGAGACAATGCTTTAACTTCTTTCTCTCTCAGTTTTTATCCAAACGTGTTCAGCTCATTCTCCGTGTTACATGTCACAGATTTTCTTGTTCATAAATCCCATCAGCCTGGATTGCTTTGTTAGTTGTTCATTGTCTGATAATAGTGCATCACATAAAACTTCTATTGCATAGTTTTCCTGAAATTACTGTTTCCTGAAATGTTCAAGAATTAGGTAACAGTGTAACTTCTAGACAGACTAGACACAATTGTTTGACACAGCACGTTATGATTCAAAATGTAACTTAATAAGAGGAAGTGAGCACCTGAGTTCCTCTCAGCTTTACAGTAAATCCATCTCATTCCAGCCATTGTCTCTGACTCAAGAATTTGCTGGAAGTTGCCGCACCCTACTGCTTAACAGTCCTCCAGCCTATGTATTATCAATATTTTGTGATGTTGGAAAGAATATGAAAAGTCATGGGAGCAAAGAAGAGTCTTAAGAATTGAGTTCATTTTCCGACAATAGGAGGAAACTTGGAGGGGGCGGCTGAATCAATAAATGAATGGGCAAGGTATGCGGTGGAATTGGACTTAGGTGTTTGGTTAGTAGAATGACTAAGGAAGGTAACTGAAGAGTGAAAGATGTAGGTCAGTGGTGGCTCTTGTGAATTGTGTGTTTTCAGACTACTAAATAAACAATAAAGAAAAAAGAGGAGAAGACTGAGTATAGCAGCTAGACAGTACCTGTGGGTTGTTTGTTGATCATGATTCATGGTGCTTTCTACTTCATTTTAAGTCAAGTCTCTGTGACCGAGTTCATATATATAAATGCAGTAGGGGTGACTTGAGTTATATTTTGTGGGATATCATAAAAGAGACTGTGTACTTGTAAATCACTCTTACATTATTACTCACAGGGAGCAGACCTAACATTTTTGAGCCTTCATCATCCTGGTCTTCCCGAAAGTATTAAACAGAAGACAGTATTTACAATCCGTGTCACAAATATTGATGAAACTGCTAGGGCTTTTCTCAAGTAAGTGGAGATAGGAAATTAAATCTGACTAGTTACTCTATCTTGAAATCATGTGCACAGAGAAAGAGTTATAGTTGTCTTTAGAGATCTGAGGCTTTTGCTGGCCCTTCCTGACATAGATTTTTATATTTTATTAAGAGATATTATATATTATAGGTTTGCATTGCCCAGTTGTATTGTTGTGGAATTTCAATTAGTAATATAGAACATGTGTGTGCTCCTTCCTCTGAAGTCTGTGTCTAGACAAACAAAGGGAACTACTATAAACTGCTCTCTCATTTGTTTTATTGATCTTGTTTCAGAAAGTGTAGTTACGTTTTTGGATTGAGACTGGTGCTGGGATGCGTGCATTTTACAAGTCACTCATTTTCACACCCTTACTCTGCAGAGGGAAAGAAACAATAGTGTTCTTCTCCTTCAGATTATGGCTTCAGTTTGTGCATTTGATAAAACAAAACACAAAACTGCCCATAACATACATTAAAAAACACAAAGCTGCATAAAACATGTAGTTTTATCTTCAAAAGTGGGATTTGGGATATATTAGCAGTTATATTGTTTGTTATAAAGTAAGCCTTAAATAGGAAGCAGATCACAGGCAGACAAAAGCAAGCCAGGTTTCTGCTGCAAATGCCTAGAGCCTTCCTATAATTGTTGCTCTGTTTCCAGACACATCACTGAAAGCTAGTTGATGTAAAATGCAGTGATCAGCAGTAGCACCTCTTACTTGGAGGTGAGTGAGGATAAAGAAATAACTCCCTGACAAGGGAAGTTAGAAGGAGATAGTAAATTCAGCAGAAAGGGAGGTGAAGCTTAATCTAGACATGTATATTGATTAAGTAGAGATGTGCACCTTGTTTTCATGATGATGTAATCTCCCTGAAGAATCAGATAAATAACCCAAGTAGCAGAGATAGTTAAGATCACAGTTTTCCAGTTTTCATTAATTTGTCAATTGCAATATTACCTAAAGAGAATGAGTCTGGACTTAGTTATCCATGCACTAACCTGACATAAAGGTTATCTGACATAAAGGTAAAGGTTTCCCCTGATATAAAGTTTAGTCGTATTTGACTGGGGAGTGGTGCTTATCCTATTTCTAAGCCCAAGAGCCAACATTGTCCGTAGACACCTCCAAGGTCATGTGGCCAGCATAACTGCATGGAGCACTGTGATCCTTCCTGTAGAAGCTGTACCTAATGATGTACTCACACTTGCATATTTTCGAACTGCTAGGTTAGCAGAAGCTGGGCCTAACAGTAGGAGCTTACCCCAATCCCCGGATTCGAACTGCCTATCTTTCTGTCAGCAAGTTCAGCAGCTTAGCACTTTAACCCACTGCACTAAGCACATCAAAAACTAGATCATTGCAATATGTAGCTGTCTTTAAATACAGCCCAGAAACAGTTATTAGTAGAAAACATAATTAGTAGGATGTTATTTAGATGAAATATGACTGATCATACTTCATTATAGCTTTGAATTGGTTAGCACTACTTATATGCCCATTGAAAGCCCTGCAAGGATGGGGAAGTGCCTCCCCCTCCAAACTGGGAGGGCTCATCCACCCTGCTATGCTCCAACCACTGAAAAAAAACCCTTATTTTTAAAAAAATATCAAATTGCCCTTCTGTAGCATGAAAGCACCATGGTTTTGGATGCTTTGGATATTTGGTACTAGGAGATGTCTATTTATATAGTGATGTAAAATGACTTCAAGGTCTCCTCTGTGCCTAAAACATCCCAGAACATTAAAAAACATAGTGAAATTGTCCCATGCTTCCCTGATTTTTTTTCTGGCTCCTCATTGAGAATGCCTCAGTTTAGTTGTGGATTTATACAAATCCCAAAAGTGGAATGTTGCTAAAACCTGGACTTAGTCTTGCTTTGAAAGATAATTTAGTGTATGGTATATGACTTAAATAAGTGTTTCTCAAGCTGTTCTTCTGGGGGCCCTTCCACACAGCCCTATATCCCAGAATATCAAGTCAGAAAATCCCACAATATCTGCTTTGAACTGGGTTATTTGAGTCTACACTGCCATATATTCCAGTTCAAAGCAGAAATTGTGGGATTTCCTGCCTTGACATTTCTGGGTTATATAGTTGTGTGGAAGGCCCTCAGAATCTCTAATCATTGGCCAAGCCAACTGAGGCTCCTAGGAATTGAAGCCCAAAATACTTGGAGCACAAGAGTTTGGAAACCACTGGTTTAAAAGATATCATATTGTGTAATCTTTATTTACTTATGTTGTGGTTTTGAAGTTCTGATTATATACACATGAAAAAAGTATACCTTGACAATAGAATCATCCCTTTAAATTAAATTAGCTTCAACATTTCTTAATTATGACAATTTCATTTAAAACATTTGCTTGTTATAAAAGTCTTCTCCCTTTCTCATTCAGCTTGGTTACAGAAGATGATTCTTAGTGTTTTTATATCTGTGAAAATTAGTTTCTGTTGTGAGTAATGTGACTTCTTAATGAATGCATATATTATAGGGCTTCTGATGTGGAAAATGAGGAACATCTTATCAAGCAGGAAGGTGATGGCAAGAGTATTTTTAGAACTCTTCAAAGTATGTATATTCTCTTTGCTTTACATTTTGTGTCTTATGACATCTAAGCTGCAGTTTATTCTAAAAACAAAATTTCTGCATTTGCATATAGGATGCAGTTTATTGCAAAATATTTTTTATAAATATTAGCAGATCTTCAGGATAAATGGGTCTGGGATTGTACATAATAAATTTGTTATTTATTGACTCAGAAGAAGTGCTGTATAGATCAATTTAATGCTTTGTTTTAATATGCTCCATCCTAGAATAGTGTTTTATATGTATGATTTCCAAGGCTGAATTTTCAGGATTTCCATTACGTTGTATCTGAGCTGGGAAAGCACTCTACCTAAAACCTCAAGAATAAACAGTATTGAACTATCACTATATCAAACAGTGAGCTAGCTTTATGCACAGCAATATCTTATCCTTTATGTTTTTGTCACTAGGACAAAAACAAATTGCCATAAAAATGTTTCTTTTTTCTTCTTTCTAGATAGGCTAAGAGAAAAACTAAGTAAGAGAGGAGTTCGCATTGTTACAGGATTAGGGAAATACTTCAGAGAGTTAGAAAGAAAACAGAATGGAGTTGTCTCAAAAACAGACTTCAAGCAAGCATTGAAAGTGTTTCATTTAGAAGTTCCTGGAGAGGTATGTTGTCCTGAACCCACTCACTTGTCCCATCTTGCATTTTCTTTCAAACTACTATTCTAATTGTGCCAGAAGTTAACCTTCCACAGTGCTCTATGGGTTCGGTTCTAACCAAGCATAAGGGGTACTTTTTACTGAGTGATTCCCAGTCTCCCTAGATATTCTTAGTTTTCCTAGTTGTGCTACCTTCACCCTCAATGTTAAAGCTTTTAAAAATGGGGTAGAATATATAAAAGTTATTAACAGGTTAGGTAATTTGGAAAGGAATAACAAAAGACAAAAGCTTTATTGTCCTATTTCTACATTAATATTCATGATCAGAGCTCTCTCTAGGATAAGACAAATTGCTAGGATTACTTACATTTATTCATCTCTTTTTTAAGAATCTAGGAAACATTTTTATGATAGTAGAATTAGACATTCCAATTGTCCAGGCCAATCATAAAAAAGCATCTTTTTGATAGATGTTTGTGGAAGGTGGGGTTTTATTTTAGAATCTTTACCTCAACAGGTATAGGGGTCAGGCTGGTTCTCAGCCTTGGTATATAGCAAATCAATTACCATTCTACTCATTAGTTTGTTACTGGTTTAGATTTGCCATTTTGCTCCTAGTTTGTTACTGGCCAGAGAAGAATCCCTAGCCATTAAGTACCTGGTAGTTTTGTAGTTGTTGTAATAGTGACATGAAGGACTATTATGACAGACTTGTAGATACCATGCCCTCTCAGCAATGCCCCCTGGTATGCTTGGTATCCTTAATATGAATAACAGGTGGCATTTATTTATTTATTTATTTATTTACTTTATTTGTATATCACTGTTCTCAGCCCTTAGGCGACTCACAGCGGTTAACAACAGAACAGCAAAAATACAGTACACGGTAAAAACAGTAACATCATAACACCTAAACAATCCTATATAATTAACAACAATAGCCATTCACTGGTGTCTCATCACTGAAAACATGATRCAAATCCGTCATCCATTATTCCATTCCTATGTTCATTACACTAATTGCACTAACTATTCGAATGCCTGCTCGAACAACCAGGTCTTCACTTTTTTGCGGAATACCAATAATGATGGAGCTAGTCTAATATCTGTGGGAAGGGCGTTCCACAGCCGAGGGGCCACCACCGAGAAGGCCCTATCTCTCGTCCCCGCCAGCCGTGCCTGTGAGGCAAGCGGGATCGAGAGCAGGGCCTCCCTGGAAGATCTCAAAGTCCTGGTGGGTTCATAGGCAGAGATGCGGTCGGATCTGTGAATGCTACTTGTTGTATTACTCTTATTGTCACAAACTGTGCTGCAGGTAGTTTTCAGGGGACTCCACATCCATCCTAAGAATGAGACTGACAGTTCAAGAAAATTATATTTCCACAGATTCCTGCTGAATGGGGTATTTCTAAAACATTAAAAGTATTCTACCACCACATCAGCAGCCAGGTGGCTATAGGGAAATGTTTATGGTGAAGTTTATGACTCATGGAATGGAGACAGCATTCACTGATGATAATAGTCGAGGCTACAATTAGCTGCATTATGAAATTTTATTTGGAAATTGTTTGATTTATAGAGTGCAGTTTTGAATGAAACCAATTCAGTCTCACTGTGCACCTGTTGCCTGTAAATTTGGATTTACCGTTGTAAAAGTACGGTCTCAAATGATGTTAATGGCTGAAGGGAGAAGAGATTAGAAATGTTCTTATAGCTGTTTTAGAGCCACTCAAGTCTCTCTATCACTTGCGGAGCACATTCACTGGGGCTGACTGGAAGCAATGGGTATAACAATTCAGTAGAATACCTTTTGCTATTTACAGGCTTAAGGTAATGTCACTGTGTTCATTTGGCAATCTTGGGTGCAGTTTATTATTATTGTTACTATTTGGTAAGCAAAATAGTAACCAAGAAAATTTTCATCATATACATTGATTTAAAATATATCTACAATTGTAACTTGATAGACATAGAAGGGTTCACACTAGACTTGTGCACTGATTTGTTTTGGCTGTTCACCTTCGGCTTCTTCAGACACCTGTTAACAGCAAGGACTCTGCTGCCATTTTTTTCCGAGTTGGAACATGCGGCTGCCAGTTGTGGCTACTTTCTGTTCTGTTCAGGATCACGTGTCATGTGGAGTGGCTGCTGCATGCTCGTACAGGGTTTCCCTAAGAACCCCGCCTGTTGAGCCAATCAGAATTGAATAAAGCCATGACGTGTCTTCTGCAAGCTGTGTCTATTTAATGGGGCAAGCTCCTCCATTGCTCAGTTGCGTCCTGGCTCTAGAGAGAGGTGCTTCAGTCTGATTGCTTTGCTGCTCGCTCTCAACTTTAGCTTTTGACTTGGCTTGGCCTAGTTCTAGCATTGAATCTTTTTGATTTTCCTTTATTTTCTTGATTCTTTATTTAGTGGGACTGGGAGTTGGAAAGTACTTTTAAAAGATTATTGTTAATAATTACAGGAATTCCAGCAAATAGCAAAGCCTCCTTTTCAGAAAAACTACCTACCTACCTACCTACCTAAACTTCACCACCAATATCTAATAATTTTTTTCCCTTTGCAATCTCATCACAAGTTATTTCTGTTTATATTTCTCTCTATGTTGTGACTCAGCTGGAACCACAGAGTGCCTCTGATGAGGATGATGGGAGTCAGGTTCACAATCTGGTTCAAAATGTCCCTGGTATAGTCAATGAGGAACAGCGTGTGGAAGTTCAGTTTCCCACAGCAAGAAATGAGTTTGTTGATACTGAAACTAGCCAGGTGCAGGTGCAGATTGACTCAGAAAAGGAGGACAGTTCTCAGCCTGATAATGAGCAGGAAGGCAAACTGGATAACACTAACGAATATATATTTCTGGCTGCGGACAGAAAGTGTCCATTTGGACACCTGCCCATTTTTGGGAAGCACACAAAAATGGACCCGCCGGTACCCTGAAATCCGAATAGCAGAAATGGCTCAAGGTTCAGCCAAAATGCACAAGCCTAGTTCACACAACTTAGTTGTGATAGGAAAATAGAGACCTGCCCTTACCCATGGAGGTAAGATCAGCCTCCTCGCTGATGGTATTCCGAAGAAGACTAAAAACTTGGATGTTCAAGCAGGCATTTGGTTAATTCGGTGCAATGAATGTGTCGACTACGGATTGGTAATATGGATGATGCAATTGGACCACGATTTTAGTTAGGAGATGTATTGGATTGTGATTTACGTGTAATATTGTGTATTATGTTTTTTATGGTTTTAATTGTATACTGTGTACTGTATATTTTGTTGTAAACCGCGTTGAGTCGCCAGTTAGGCTGAGAAACGGCGGTATACAAGGACAGTAAATAAATAAATAAATAAAATTAATATTCTACACAATATTCAAATGAAAATTCATCTTTAAATACTAACTTGAACTTTGCTACTATTCTGTTATGTAATAGAATCTCCTGGTCTTCATGCTGACTTAGTCACTTATTTATCACAAAAATTTTGAATTGTAGGATTTTGAATCTCTATGGTCAATACTTGATGACAACAATAATGGTAACATTGATTATACTGACTTTACTCATGCCATTCTTGGAGAAATGAATGAATATAGGAAAGCATTTGTCAGAAAAGTAAGTTTTTTCAAATTTATGTAGTCTTCTAGTAGATAATTGTGTTTTGTGATCAATAAAAAAAATAAAGAGGTCAGACACAGAAATTGGGGTCAAATTGGGCCATTTATTAACCTAGTTGATAAACAAGCCTTCACAACCTACATCCCTCCAGATATTTTGGACTTCAGCTCCAGAATTCCTGACCATTGTACAAGCTGGCTAGGGCTTCTGGGAGGTGGGAGTCCCAAACACCTGTGAGGGGGGTGCACAGGTTGTGCAGGCCTGATCTAGAGGTTTACCTGTGCGAGTTGGGGATAACTGGAGCAGGAGGTCTCCTGCTAAACCCCTTCTGCAGCTTTCCTTGGGTAAAACACCTGAGCCTGAGGTGAAACCCAAGCTGGGTTGCTCCCTCAATTAACCCAAATCTGGAAGTCTTGCCCAAAGTTACCACTCCTCAAATCCCAAGACATAAAGTTAGAGGTTTAACCCTTAGGCCAACCTCAAAGCATTCTGTTTTCCCCATCTCTCCAGTTCTGGGTCTTAAAAGAGGCAGTGCTAGGGGTCCTCCTTTTGCCCTAAAGGGATGCCATAGGTGTTCACTGAATTTAACTTACTCCCTTTTACTGCTAATAGCCTTCAATTTATGACACCACTCATAGTCAGTTATCTGATTCCCCTGCTCACAGTATGGAGTAGGCAAAAACAAACATCCTTTAACAGGAGAAAATCTTGAGGATTGAGATCTCTGAGCCAAGGCTACCTGGAAGAAATGCATTGGACAGTTGCTTGTTCCATGGCATTGGCAGTTATCCAAAACTCTCCTCCTGTTCAACCTTGGCTCAAAATACAGCTTCCTTTGAAGCCAGTCTTTTGAGGAATAGACAGCTTGTAGCCAAATTCTTCCTTCTCTCATTGTTGGTACCTTTCTCTTCTGGCATGAATGTGGAAGGAATGGAACCAATTACAATTACAAGTGATATACCTCACAGGTTCACAGTACATGTAGCTAATAATTTCTTCTTTTTGATTTTGAATTGTGCTAATTAAGGATTGTAATAAAGTGGCCTATGTTTATCTGCAGTGGCAAATAGCTATGGATTGATTCTAGTTCATTTTATAAACATTTGAAAAAGTCATATTTTCCAGAAACCATAAACTGATTATTCATAAAACGATCATGTGTTAGAAGGCACTGCTGAATTTTCTGTATTGGAAATAACCTGTCCTATCTTTAACTGCAGGCCTTTCATCCTGATCTACCTTCATTTGTAGGCTCCCCCCTCAGACTAAGCTGAATATCTGCTTCTTGGTATTTAATTATACTGTCCCTGAACCTACTACAATTTCACTTGTGAAAATATAATTCAGGCTTTGAACATTATCAAGCCAATACAGTTTGGTGGGGATGGGGAACATTTGAAATTCTATTTCTGGGTCATCCAAATGTAATTTTCAGCAAGTGAGAAAACAAATGAGTCAGTGAGAAAATACCTCACTGTGAATGCAACAGGAAAAGTACTGTTAATAAATTAGCAGTGTTGACCAAATAAAACTTAAAGATATATTTGGGTATAAAATACCTTTGTGAGATTTCTGGAATTTGTTTTTTCAAATAAATACATATTTCTTTTACAAAAAAATCTGTTGATTTGTTCCATACCATATGCTTTTCTGATTTTTATCTTTGTTCAGGCTTATATGAAGTTGGATTACAACAAAACTGGCAGTGTGCCTATGATCGATATCAAGAAATGTTATTGTGCTAGAAAACATCCCCAAGTCTTAGCAGGTAATTAATGTGCAAGAAAGTAGTTATTAATTTGTCTTGTTACCAAAGTCTCTCTGCTTCTGACTGGTTCACTAACTATGCACAAAATAAGATTTACTCGGTGTTCTGAATGTAGAGGACTTGATGATATATGTTGAAGGACATTGCAAAAGAGACTTGGAACCTGGCTGAATTCTCTCAGTCTCCCTGCACTAAGGAAACAGATTCCCTCCCTATCCCAAAGACATCTTCAGATGACATAGGTCTGGAGGAAATAAAGTGACCACATATAGTAGCTGACCATTTTGTTAGCCCAAGAATTAATGTATTAAGAAAAAAACAACTTATTATTTTGGCGCCACATTTTTACTTCCACACAGTTTCCCAGAATGGAGTGAGTCTCCTTGAAATAGATGTCCAGGTTTTTTTAGCTCTTCAATGTTAGACAACCATTTATCCCAAGGCAACCTATCAGTCCAATGTCCTTTTTGAGAATTTGTTCTTAATATCAGAATGATTAGCAGCAGTCGTCATATTTCCCTTTATTTAGAGCAGGAGTGCACTCACCTACTCCTCCAGCTTAGGTGGGTTTCAAGGGAAACAAATTAGCAATAAATATATTGTGCTGTCGCCCCAAGTTGCTTTAAATGTCTCTTTAGCATTAATGTGTTCTAACTTTCTGTCAGCTTGGGGGATGCTGGATTGCCTTCTTGTTTGAGCAAGGAACCCCACAGAATCAATGTCCAGGCTATTGCTTTCATGAAATGGTAATGATTTATTATCTGGTCTTGGACCTGTCTCCACCCAGGCACTAACTTGATTTCTCCACAACAAAATCCATACTTAAAATTTGAAGGGTAACTGATTGTTCCTGAAGCTACCAGTCATGGATGATTTCTGAGGAGAATAATAGATGACAGTTTTTCTTGCTCACTGTCTCTGTTATAGGGGCCTCTGGGGTGCCCAAGGCATTAATTAGTTATTGGTTAACTAATTATTGGTTTATAAACAACTTGAGATGGCTTGTCCAAGCCTGGATCTCACTGGAACCAACTGCAGATATGCTTTGCTTCCAAGATTCCCTGGTGGTCTATGATCTAAAATGGCCCCCTTTCCTCATGCAAAGGGGTGGCAAAATGGCTGACACAAACTAGGAAGGGTTTTCTTAAACGCCACCCTTATAAAACTAACAGAAAAATGACTACTCTAAAACTGTGGGTGAGGAAAACTGGGGGTGAGGAATTCCAGCACATGTACATTTGCCATAATATTACTTGGATGGAAAACTTGCAAGAAAGATCATTTATTGTATGCATTGCAGTTCTGGTGATAATGTCAGAATTTTTGATTTCTTGTATTATTTATCAAGAATTCTTAAAACCCTTACTATACACTCAAAGCAACAACTTTCTTTAGCTTCCTCTTTCTGTGCATCTATAACTTGGGATAAGACTTAAGCTGTAAATCAGAGATGAATCAGTTTTCCAGAGATCCCCTTTGAGCTCCCTGTCTTATTTTACCAGCTATAATTTTCACTTAATCCCTTTATATTCTATTTTGACATGCACACATAGGTTTTGATTATATTGTCTTTGTTTTCTACATTCCTGACATGATTTTAAGAGTGAGTAATAGTGAGTAATATTTTAACAGGCAATGCAACAGAGGAAGAAGTTAAATCTTCGTTTCTAGAAACACTGGAGGATGCTTGCAGCAATCCCAATGAAGTCTCATTCTCTGAATTTGAGGATTATTATGAAGGATTAAGTATTGGAATTATGGATGATGAAGATTTTGTTAATACATTAAGGAACCCTTGGGGAATTTAAAAGTAAATGATATGTGTTAACAACATCCACAACTAGGATGAGAAATGAAATGCTAGAATTTGAGACACACTAACCTTTGAATGACAATTTAATAGATTGACTTGAATAGTCTAAAGATAAATGATGAAACATTCCAAATGTTCAATGTCGTACATAGAAACATATACATTTCTTGTATTATTGTTATATGTTTATATGTTTTAAAATTTCTTAATGTATGTATTTTTATACTTCTGTTTTAAATGTCATTTTAATTGCATATTGTTGAACACATTGAATGGTTGCATGGTTGTAAAGCTGCCTTGAGTTGGCTCTGGGTTGGATAAAGGCGGGGTAGAAATGTAATAAACAAATAAATAAATAAACTTTTGGCTTATATTTAGAATCTTTTCCAACTACTGAAAGTCCTACTGGACAAGATTCAACATAAAAAGGAAAAAAATTAAAATAAATCTGTGAAACATGGACCTGATAAAAGGATATATGTAATAAAAAAGGAGATAGTTCATAATTTTGGCTCCAGGCCTGCCCTTGTCTTATGCACAAGATCAACTTACAGTCCAATATATGCAATAATTGATATAGCTGGAATTTTTCAAAAGCACAGTCATTCCTATGGCCTGAATTTTCTTGATAGTCCCATCTAAACAAGGCATATCAAACTAGTTGGATTCACATAAGTGTGGACTCACCATTCAATTATTTATTTATTTATTTATTTATGACATTTATATGCCGCCCTTCTCACCCCGAAGGGGACTCAAAGCGGCTTACAAGTCATATCTACATAAAACATACTATATTACTAGCATAATACTAATACATCATTCATAATATTAGTATTATATAATATTATATTGTTGCTAGGGGAGGGACTTTGATGTCGCAGGAGACAAGATAGGACTGTCTTCTCTTCTCCCTTCTTCACTCGGTCCCAGAGTGGCCGTTGGTGGTGGGGGAAGGGCTTTGATGTCTCAGGAGACAAGATGGAACTGTCTTCTCTGCTTCCTTCTTCACTCTGGCCCCAGAGTGGCCGTTGGTGGTGGGGGAAGGGCTCTGATGCCACAGGAGACAAGATGAAACTGTCTTCTCTGCTCCCTTCTTCACTCTGGCCCCAGAGTGGCCGTTGGTGGTGGGGGAACGGCTTTGATGTCTCAGGAGACAAGATGGAACTGCTCCCTTCTTCACTCTGGCCCCAGAGTGGCTGTTGGTGGTGGGGGAAGGGCTCTGATGTCGCAAGGGACAAGATGGAACTGTCTTCTCTTCTTCACTCTGGCCCCAGCTTTGTTCTAGTTGGGACTACTAATAAGATTTAGGCCTATGACTTTTATTTGATAGAGCTATTTTAGTAAATGTCTATAGATAGCAGAGCACATACACAACTATATGGTATTATAGTGCTCTCTTATCTTTTTATGAAATTTCTTACTATAAAATAGTATTTGTGTGTCTTCTCAGCTACTTTCTGCAGCTGTATGTACATCAACATACAGAAGTCTTCATTTATGTGCATCATGTGCTCTTTAAAAGATTATCTTGTTGCAAATAGCAAAGGAGAATCTTGCTATAGTAATTAGAATGTAATAAAAATTGGACAATGGATTTCATATGTAGTTATGAGTAATCCCAAATCACTCTTTCTTTAAAAAAAGAAATTGCCCTGTTCACTTCATTGAGATACTCTGTTCATATTTTTTAAAACCACATATCTTTAGTTTGTAAAGGATATTCCAATATAAATGTTATATTTTTTTCTTAATATGGAAGATTTCTGATTTTAAAAACAGTTTCTTGACTATTTTTAGAATTATTTTGATATCTTACTTAATAACTATAATTTGTGGTTCACATCTATTCCATTGTTATGATCTGTCATAATTTTGCTATTTTTAACCAAACCTCTTTAAAAAACAAGCAAACATCTGAACTCATTTCAAAGAAGCTTTTAAAGATATCATTTGGCATAAAGGTTCACATTTCCATTAGTACTGCTAATATCATGTGTTTTTTATTCCATATGTATAATAATATGGATTGTATTAATTTTGAACATGTTTCCCATTTTTATGGTGTAGAAGTCCTAGAAATTAGTATAGTCCCATTATAGGAGTCTTCAAATGAAATGTATTATATAATGCTAATGACTTTCCAGTGCAAATTTCATGTGTAATTGTGTACCATTAAACTATGAATATTTGCTACATTTGTAAATATTATGTTTTATTGTTAATTCCTATAATGACCTACATTTTAATGCTTAACTCTTGCTAGCATTTCCCATTTAGCAGGGGACTGGCAAATCACCTCTGATTTTTTCTTGTCTTTTGAAAATTCATGGGGTCACCATAAGTTGACAGGTGACTTCAAGGCACACACATACAGACAAACTCTTTTTTCTTGAGTAAAGACAGCTGGGGTATTGGAAAGGACAGCACTTCTGAGCAAGAGAAGGAGTGCTGATAGCTATCAGATTATAAATTGAGTTCTTAACATCTTGATGAGTTCTTAACATGGCCACATGACCTTGGAGGTGTCTACGGACAATGCCAACTCTTTGGTTTAGAAATGGAGATGAACACCATCTCCCAGAGTTGGACACGACTAGACTTAACATCAGCAGAAACCTTTACCATTAACTTTTCTTAACATCTAAATTCACTTCTTCAATTCATTTAAGACAGTAGTGTGGGGACTTTTCGTCTTCTGCATAGTGAACTGCAGTATTCATCATTCATGTTCACTGCCCGTGGTAGTTGAGGCTATTGAATTTGAAGCTCAACATCTAAAAAAGAAAATGCTTCCCCATAATTTACGAAGACTTGGAGGTTCTCTTAAAATGAGGATCTTTCTAAGATAATACAGTATCATGTTTTGATAGGATAAGAGAATGAGAAGTAATTATAATAAGTGTCACCTCATTTCTTCCTTTAAGGGGGAAGCAAAGTCAGAAAGCAGTTGTAATGCAAAGATTCAAAACGTTAAGAATTTTTGATAATATTTTTAGTCTGCTTTGATCTTTTCCTGTGCTCAGACTCCAGTGTTCTTTTCTGATTTCCTCAGAGGAACAGTCATGATGCATTCAGGGCTCATCTATAAGACCCCGAAAGGCAAAATCTTATTTATGCTAAACCAAGTTTTTTTTGCTGGGGAGGTTTGATTGGGGTTTGCTGGTAAAGTTCCATAGAGTCCAAGTGCCAGGAGCTTAACAAAACTAATTCCTGACTGACCTATCTATATTTATAAAAGTTTATGTATGTATGTATGTTTGATTCACATAGGCTTCATAGGATCTGGACCAAAGTTGATACACATAACCATCATGATCATGGTGGTGTTTTGAGGGGAGGACTAATAGAGGCTGATGGGAGCTGTAGTCCAGCCATGTAGTTCAGTGTGGTGGTCTCCTTCTTTAGAGACTTTTAAAAAGAGGCTGGATGGCCATTTGTCGGAGGTTCTTTGAATGCTATTTTCTTGCTTCTTGGCAAGGACTTGGACTGGATAGCCCATGAGATCTCTTCCAACTCTATGATTCTACAGTATATCCTGAGAGCCACATGAATCCCACCCACAATGGTTCTGAAACAACCTTGGAACACATACCATTCATGACCCAACTTCAAATACTGGCAACATTTGAGGGAGGGGGGCTAATAGAGTATGATGGGAGTCCAGTCACATCCAGAGAGCTGTATGATTCCCATCTGAGGGTGCAGCTCTCTTAACCAGTCAAATGATGCAACTTACTGGCTAGGTTGCATCTTTTAACATCCTTACCCCATTGTTAGGAGGACTGGGGCTGATAGGAATTGCAGCCACCCATATTTTGGGGTGATCGAAGTTGCAGCCAGCCAGATTTAGAATAGATGGGAGCTGCACCCTGACCAGGTCTTGGGCTGATGGGAGTTGCAGCTCATCAGCTGCTGTACAGTTTTATAAAAGATCTCATTTTACAGGTATGCATTTTCTAATGGGTCAATTCATAAAACTGAAAAGCAAATGAGTATTTCTAATACCGTAAATTACAAAATGCCTAACCCTAGCGACATCGGGTAGATGCACTAGCCATGAACAAAAATGGATCATATGCATTATCAGGAGAAGTGGTCTGCTTATTGTAGTCAAGACAAGTTTGTAAATAACAACATTTACTTCTTATTTAAATTCACTGCAGTATCTTGTTCCGTGCTGTTAATAAATCCAGTTGTTTGGTAAAAGTGCAGCTAGTGTAGTTTCATCCACAGGATTCTGAAGGCATAACACAGCACACTTTATATGCCAGCCTCTAATTTGATGTCTTTGTAGATCCATAGAAACAATATAAAAGTGATTATTGGTACCCATTTACCAGGACTCATTAATGACTCAGACGGGAAGTGACTGAGTGTAACTTAATATAGCAGTCAAATTACCCTCTCTCCCCCAATAAGGCTGTAGGATCCTCCTGGTCATAATAATTTAAATAATAGTGACAGAAATTAACTGGAAAGTTCTATTATGGGTTTAACAATTGTGGAATTAAAAGCTCCTTAATTCAATGTCTATTAAAGTTGGCTTTGATTGTGAATCCAAGAGGTTGCCAGGTACAGAGAGAAGTAAAGATGGTCAAAAGATCTGAAAGTCCATCATGGCCTAAAAATAATTTTTATCTTTGCAGCAAATACTAGTTGTAGATAGTGATCATCTGTAAAAGAGAAACTTCACTACGGTAAAGGACTAGTTAAAACAGCAAATAGTCCAAGTAGCTGAGGCAGTGATATTCCATTCCGCTATAAACTCTGCTAATTAAGTGAATCCTTAATACTCCTTATAATTCCCTCTGATTCTGGATCCTGCTATTTTGTCTTGAGAAAAATTAAATCCTGTAATCGAGCTCATAAAAAGATATCTGGCTTCTGAAATCCTCTGAAGTATTTTTCTTTCATGGCAGCGTTTACATCATAGCAGGGACAACTGTACATGGCATGTGAATCCAGTAACTATTTCTGCATTCTAGACCAATTAATCCCTGCCCCCTCCCACAGTGTTTCAGAAACCCCAAAGGAAAAGTAGCTGAGATCTGGAAACTACAGGCTTAAATGTCTGGCTTTGCCTAATGTTCAAAGGATAAGAGGATTTAAGGTACTTCAATGTCAAACCACTGCTCCAATTTCACTTTCTAAAATAACATTTTTGAATAGTTTGATAACACAAGGTGGCTTCCATTTTATCATTACTTTACTTTTCATGGATCTAATAAGACTTAAAGGGTATGGGGCTGCTTTAAATAATATTGTCACACAGGAATGGAGCCTCTACCTAGAAGTATTAAAGTTGATAACTAGAAGATTTGTCCAACCAGACATAGATCTCTTTGTCTCCCCACTCAGCTTCAAGATAGGTAGGTTCATCTCAAGGTATTGGATAGAGAGAACCAAAAATGTGCCCTCTCCTTCCTAGTTTAGTTGGCTACTATATGCCTTAGCTCCAATTGCCTTGTTTCCCACTGTGATGAGGAAAATAGGACTAGAAAAAGCCTGCTTGTCACTTTGGTGTGACCAAGGAGGTCCTGATGCTCCAAATCACTTACCTGGCCATGGATTTGATGCCTCTGCCATATTGTCCAGGTCTACTCATGTAGGGACCGGTCTGCTGACCCAGAAAGGATATTCCCCTTGGAACTGAGTAGAGAGATCACACTGGCAACGAAGATCCGCATAGTTAAAGCAATGGTATTCCCCGTAGTAACCCACGGATGTGAGAGCTGAACCATAAGGAAGACTGAGCGAAGGAAGAAAGATGTTTTTAAACTGTGGTGTTGGAGGAAAATTCTGAGAGTGCTTTGAACTGCAAGAAAATCCAATCAGTCCATACTTCAGGAAATAAAACCTGATTGCTCATTGGAGAGAAGGATATTAGAGGCAAAGATGAAGTACTTTGGCCACATAATGAGAAGACAGGAAAGCTTAGAGAAGACAACGATGCTTGGGAAAATGGAAGGAAAAAGGAAGAGGGGCCGACCAAGGGCAAGATGGATGGATGGTATCCTTGAAGTGACTGTCTTGACTCTGAAGGAGCTGGGGGTGGTGACAGCCAACAGGGAGCTCTGGTGTGGGCTGGTCCATGAGGTCAAGAAGAGTCGGAAGTGAATGAACAAATAAACAAAAACAACACAGGTCTTTGGATTAGCTTTAGCATCTGTTCAGTTGGGCTTGCTCTGAATGTTTTGCAATTAACACTATACTAGTTTCCATCTCACTGGTTTCACCATTGTCAGCACCCAGAGAAACCAGGGGGCTCACTTGGCCCCATAAAAGGAGATACTTAGGAACAATTGTGTCCACCAATCTGGTCATATCTTCAGTCTAAACAATGAACATTGCTTCAACAGAATTATTTCCAGCAGCATGAAGATCCAGATAGCACTTGTGACAGACACATGGTTGTTGTGGCAGACATGATGTGCTGATCAGCTCCTGACAGAGCAAGTCTCAACATGGATTTTGAAATTGCCCAGCATCACAAGCTGAAGGGGCTCTTAACACCAACCCCAAGATCATCTGGCTAGTTCAGAAAGGGAGATTGTTGAGTAGTGGGATAGGAGGTACATCAATAGCATTGGCAATCTCTCATGGCCCCTAACTTCAGACACATTTGAACCCAGAAGACACTGGGGTATGGCACCTGGTCAGGAGGCTGGAATCCACATAGACTACTGCAATGCCATCACTCTATCTTCTCAAGTTTTACCTGTTCCTGCTCAGAGAGCTCTGGTGGACAAAGCTATGAGGGACTGCCCCAGCACTATTAAATCAGGCCTCTATGGCCCCTTCTACACAGCCATATAAAATCCAGATTATCTTCTTAGAACAGGAGTATATGGCAATGTAAAAAAAAAGGGCCTATGATACATGCTAGTTAAGATTGACTTTCAGTGATAAAATTCAACCAACTCTGCACAGAGTATCTTTAAAGTATGGACCCAAATGGTGTCTGTTAGGACAGATGATAGTGGAATTATTGTTTCTTGTTTACTAAACCTGAAGTTCTAAAACCCTTATTTCCCCCTCTAATATTATGTGAACTAAAATATTTTCTAATCCTTTTTACAAGTTCATGTGCAGTTTTCTCTAGACTCTTGCTCATACTAAATTATTTATAGACCCATCCTTTTGGTAGACCTGTGTGATTTACAAATTATCTAATCTGCCACTCATCGGATTATCTAATCTCAT